AAAAAAAAAAAAAAAGTCTAAACAATTTTATTTTAAGAAGAGCAGCAACCGGGACACTGCTTTAGTTCATTTAAATCTTCTTTCTCAAAAATACATTCCTAAATATACAAACTATACAATCTTGTCATTTTAATGCTGGTTTTTTTGTTTTTGTAGTTTTTTTTTTTTTAATAATAATAGAACCCAAACTAAAAAATCTTCATCTTCAAACCAACAGGAGCGCTAGAGGACGTGTGACTCGGTACCTTCATATAACACCACATAAATAACGTTAGCCACAGTCTCTGTTCACAGCATGGTCCATGGAACAAAGGAAATACTTTTCTGGTGATTAGACGTCGTCTGCAGAGAGGGTCGGGATATTCATCCGAGGCCGGGTGAAAAATGCCATCTTCTCCCTGTAACAGAGGCCATCCCCTCAGAGCAGGAGTTTCCACCCTTGCTTTACAGATTCACGGGCAGGGTCATTCTTTGCGGCAGCGCTGTCCCGTGCGTGGCAGGACATGTGGCAGCATTCCGGCCTCTGCCCCCTAGACACCACCCTCAGCTCCCTGACATCCCTCCTTCCAGTTGTGACAACCAGAAGTGTCCCCGAATTGCCAAACGCCCCCACGGGGCCCAAATCATTCCTGGTTTAGAACCACTGCTTGAGCGACATTAGCAGGACCCCAGGGACCTTTAGTTTAAATCAGGCGCCTGAGTTTACAAGGGCCTTTGGGCCATGTCTAGTGTTTGTTTTAGGTCCCCAGCTGGTTAAAACTGAGATGTCCAAACACGGTCCTACAAATTGCAGTACATTTTAAATGTTTTTTAGCCTCAGCTGGGAGGACATCACAAGTCTAAACGCCAGGCCCTGTGAGGATGGGAGGCCGGACAGCTGGCACTGGAGGCCCTCCCAGGGGACGCCCGGGTGCAGTACAGCCAGAAAGCGCCTCCCCGAGATCCCGGCAGGCGGCAGGCTGAGCCCGGCCGGCAACCGTCGCCCCAGCTTATTAATCACTCAGCCAACCCTCCGCAATTACGGGTGATGGAAACGCCGAGAGCAAAGGCTGGAGCAGGTGGCTCATTCATTAAACCAGAGGATCTAACAGATTAGCTCGAGCCGTTGGGGATGAGAAAGACAGCCAGGGGAAGCGGCGCCGAGTCAGGCTGCCGGGGACGGCTTGGCAGGGGCTGAGCATCTGCGACAGGGAGCTGGCGCTCTGCGAGGGAAGGGACCACGGAGCAGGGAGCCTGAGCAGGGGGCTGAGGCTGGGCAAGCGGGGTGTGAAAGGGAAAAGTGCGTGGGCTGGCCGGGAACCCACCGCTTACCTGAAAGACTGCACTTCGGGGGGCTCCTTACAGCTCTGGCCTCGGAGCCTGTGCACATCCTTGGCGGCGGCCCGCATCATCTTGTCCGTCTGAAGCTCGCCCTTGTGCTCTGCGCGGTCCATCTGCAGGCAAAGCAAGCAAAGCCGTAAGGTTCTAGAGAGTGCTTTGGGCTCCAGAAATGGGCCGGCGAAGGAGAACTCTCTAGCACAAATGAGGAGTTTATTGTAGTCAAAAGGTCTGCAGGTCACACAACAGGCATCCTCTTTATTCCAAATGATGAGGGAAAGTGGTCCCATCATCTGTGGCAGTGGCCAAGTATTCGGAGCCAAGGAACTAAACACCTGTGTGCACCTGCCGGAGGTCAGGAGGTCAAGCTGTCTGGTGAGATGCTACTTCATCTAGTCCTCAGGGCCACCTAAGGTAGATTTTATAATTACCTCTATTTGACAGCCCAGGAAACTGAGGCTCAGACATGTTAAGAAATTTCTTTAATGTCAAACAACTAAGATGTGGTAAAAACCCAATTCCAAGTGATGCCGTGTGCTCAAGGCCTTAGGTACATTACACTTCTTCCTCTTGATGCAAAACTGTGTAAGTACTTTTGAGAACAAACCACTGAGAGTCCTAAAATATCCATGTACTAGATACTTGACAACATGGCACAGAGACAGAATTTTGGTCAATGAAGCCGTTGTTTAAATGGCTCGTTAGTAGGTCATTATATACAGATAGTCATGGATGTACTATAATTTACTATTTGAAAGGTCTGTTTTTCTCAGTTTGTATTTTCTTAAAGTAGGCCCCATATATACACTTATTTTCTGACCTCTTTTTGCCTCAGCTACTGGGAAGTGCAAAGGTAAATGTAATAGACAACTACAATTAAGTTAAAAAACTTTCTCTAACTTCCTATTTTCCTTTAATGTTCTTATTAAATCCCTGTTTTAAGTATACGGGGCATAAGTAATAAACTAGAAAGAGACATTTCTGGACTTTCTGAATTGCCTGTGAATTAGAAGCTTCCACACTAGTCTTTTTTTTTTTTTTTTCTTCTAATATATCTTTATTGATTTCAGAGAGAGGAAAGGAGAGGGAGAGAGAAACATCAATGATCAGAGTCATTGATCGGCTGCCTCCTGCATGCCCCCCGCTGGAGATCGAGCCCGCAACCCGGGCATGTGCCCTGACCGGGAATCAAACCTCGATCTCCTGGATCCTAGGTCGATGCTCAACCTCTGAGCCACGCTCGGCTGGGCTCCACACTCGTCTTGACCTAAGTCTAGCATGAAGTTCCTACTCTAAGGCATCACCACTTGCATCAAGAGCTGGGACTTTAGCTGATGGCCCTTCCATCAATCCAGGCAGGCACCCTCTTCACGATGCTCTTTGCACTGTCTGGCTGTGTGCAGACAGAACTAGCAAAGGTCTGTCATTCCTGCCATGGGTGGCAATGCGGGAGTGGCAGGTATTATAAAAACGAGTCAAAGATGGCTTCTGTTTATTGGCCCAGTGTTGCTTACTTTTTCATGGTAGTCTGTGACCTGTCAGCTCCAAAGCCCGCTGGTGCCAAATTCAAATTTTTACCCATCCAATTGGTTTAAATGTAGCTCAAACAAGCAGATTTTTAAACCATTTAGAACCTGCCTGCTTTGCATACTCTGTGAAGCTCCACCCATCACCTGCTGGCCTTAGATAAGACACACCCTGGGGCTATCAAGGACCCCAAAGTGCTGCTGCTCTGGAGCTCTCTGACCTAGAGACTCCTCACGATGCTGCTAAGTGTCATCATCTTGATGCACAAGCCCCCTCTCCAACCTCCCCTTTCCTAGGAGTTCCCTTGCCCTCCTGCCCTCTAGGTGTGGCCCCATTAAAGTTGTCTCTGGGAGGTCCCCCCAAAACAGCACTACCCTAATAGAACTCACTGCATGCTCCTGCCTTTCCCTCAAACTCACTACAGGAGAGCAAAGAAGCAGCAGGTTTGTGTTCCCAGCATCTTACTCCCAAGCCCAGCTGTGGTCTGCTCGGCTCCTCTCTGCTTTGGACACCTGCCCCAAGGGACCACCAGGTTGGTCACTGCTCTAGATTCACTGTTAGTGTGCCCCAGCACAAATGAGGTGCATTGGTTTGATGAAGGGCTGCACAAATGAATAAACGTGTGAATAATAAGGGCCTGCACACACATCTACAAGGACATGCAGCAAAAGGGGCCTGACCGCCAGGTCAAGAGCTGACAACATTTACTGGGCAAAGTGACTCCTGGATCCCTTTGCTGATGCGAATGCGGGGCCCCAGGGAACTCTCGCAGTGGGTCTCGGGACTGTATGACCCAGTCCAAGCTCAGGTCTGTTTTCCTCGAAGCAGCGGGCCGTCGCCAAGGGCGGCCCCCACCACACGCCCACGGCCGCGTGGCGCTCACCTGCCGCTCCAGCAGCCTCAGCAGCAGGCGGAAGCGCTCGTCCTCCCGCAGCCACTGCGGCAGCTCCTTTTCCCCGTGGCTCTTGGCTTGTTCGAGCTGCTCCTTGAGCTCCTTCAGCACCGAGATCTCCTGAGTCAGCTGGCTGTGCCAGGTCCTGGTGGCCTGCAGGTCTAACTCGAGGTCCAGCGAGGTGCGCATCAGGCGCTCGTTGCGCAGGGATTTGAAGGATGAAGGCTGTGGGGGTGGGGGTGGGGGTGGCTTTGACTGCCCAGCACCCAGCCGGGACGACTGAGCCCACATGACCCCTCCTTGGAACCTCAAATAACCTCCTTTGTTCATGAGCAGGTTTCCGATCCTTCAAAACTGCCCTCCCCCAAGCCTGTCTTGATTTCTCCCATTCTATACATCTCAAGTTTATTGAGCATTTTTATGTCCCAGGCATGGTGCTGGGCACTTTACTGCATGACCTCAGTTCATCTGCACAACCCTCTGAGGTCACAGCTGTTATTGCTGCACAGAGGCGGCTCCCAGAGGTGAAGTCACACATTTTAAGTGATAAAGCGGAGATTCCGCCCCAGGCAGTTGGCTCCAGGCCCCATCACTCACTCCTCACACAGTGCTGGGATCCCAGCTCTGTGACCTCCACATTTACATTCTCACTCTGCATTCTGGTCTCTATCCTGCTCTCGAGTTATTTCCTCAATGCAAGTCTGCTCCCCCTTGAGAGCTGAAGTCCTGTCTTCTTGACTTGGTGTTCCAGCACCTACTTCCCCAGGCTTACAGGACTAAACATCTTCCCTTGAGGATCCAGGCCTCCTCCACGCTCAACCTAGAGGGTTTGGGTGGGGCTTTGGGGATAGGAAGGTGACCTGAACCTGACAAATCAGAACCACAGTGATTGCTTCAGGGGTGAGTATGTTATCTGAGCCCAGCCAATAAAACTCAATTCTGGTACCTTTGCCGAGCTACTGGGGGAAAAGGCAATGTCTTTACATAGAGATTAAGCCAGCAAGATATTAACCTAGAATTGATCATGGTCATCTTCACCATCACATGGGGCGACCCTGGTTAAGAATTAAGCTAAAAAGAAAAAAAAAAAATAGAAGAAGAATTGAGCTCTCTGGAGGGAACAGTGCCATGAGAGGGGGGCTGAGGCTTGAGGACTCCTGGATCAATCCATGTCTGAGACTAGTCCAATATCCTGGAGTTTCCATTAAATGAGCCAATAAATTACCTCTTTTCATTTTCAAGCTACGTTTGAGTTCTTTAGTTATCTGCACGCATAAGATCCTGAGTAACAGAATCATTAACTCTCCTCCTAGCAAAACCCAGTACTGATTAGAAAAGAATGACTGAATGACTGTGGGAGGCTGGGTTCTAAGCTGGCCTCCCTACATACACACCCGGTATAACGCCTGCCCCTTCAGTGTGGGCGGGATATCACTCCTATGATTAGGTAACTAATCAGCTGACTTTAATAATCCTGGATGGGCCTGACCTAATCAGGTGAGCTCTTAAAAGATGAACTGGCCCTTCCTGGAGATGTGCTAGCCTTAAAGAAGCAATATATGTTATGGAGACGTCCATATGGCAAGGACTGAAAATGACCTCTGTGAGCTGTGAATAGCTCCAGGCCTGCAGCTAGCAAGAAAATGCAAGGAAATAAATCCTGTCAACACCCCAATGGGGCTGGGATGTGGATCTCTCCCTAGTCAAAATTCCAGATGAGTCAACACCTAGATTTCAGCCTGGGGAGACCCTGAGCAGAGGATCCAGCTAACCCGTGCTGACCTCCTGACCTGCAGGAACTGTGAGACAATGTACTGTTTTAAGTTGGTAAGTTTGTAGTAATTTGTTATGGGGCAACAGGAAACAAATACAATGGCCAGTAAAGGGACTTGAGAAATGCTATGTAAGCTGTTACTATGGGACCTATCCTCACTTATACTTGCATGAGTAGACTTTCAGGAATACAAAATGCAGAAGTTCTAGAAGGCTCGTCTAAGGTGGCCAATGTCTAGTCTGTACTTATAAATGAGCAGGGTCAGGAAATCCAGCTGAAGATCTATGTTGCTCAAGGTCTCGGAGCAAGAAATGAAGATGTTTTGCTTTGCTCTGACTGATGTCCAATCTTTGAACCTTGCCTGAAGCAGACAGAGGCACAGCTCGGGCAGTGCGTGGAAGGACGGCAGCAACCGGGGCCCCAGCCCAGCCTCTGGATTCTCCTGTTCCTTGGGCATAGTCAGAGGACCTGAGGGAAATGTGGAACCTTCCCCAGGGCCTACTCAGGCCTTACAGTTCACAAACCTCCATTCGCAAAAACCATCGCGATCTCGCGAGGGCGACCTGCTCCACGCCCGCTGCGGAGGAGAAAGGGTCAGGCACGGGCGTGCGTGGGCCTGGGGGGGCGAGCGCACAGCAGCTCACAAACGGCTTCGAGGGGTCCGTCTTACCCGCTTCATCCGGACGCTGCGCCGCTCCAGGGAGTTTCGAACAAAAGGTGGCTTCTTCGACAGTGTGGAGCTGTCACTGTCACTCCGGTTCAGCTGTAAGAAAAAGCCACGGAAGTTAATGAAGGTCCGAGCGCCTTCGGAAGGCACGCTGGGGTCAGGAGGGTGGTGGTTTCCCCCACTCGGCCTGGTGCTCTCTCCCCTGTGCAAACACTCAGAGTTCCTGTTCCCTGGGGCCTGCAGGAGGCAGGTACCATCTGACCACCCTTTCCTTCCCAGGCAGATGTTCGCCGAGCATGTTCTCCGCACAACGCACGCTGCTGCCTCCTATGTGCACAATATCTCATCTAGTTCTTCTGGCAACCCCGTGGGACATGAGGATCCCCACTTGACCAAGGAGGAGAAACTGAGGATTGGCCAAGGGTTGGTGAGTTGGTAGCAGTACAGTAGGGCTGACGTCAGACAGCGTGACTCCAGGATATGCTGCCCCCTGGACCTACAGGCTAAGGCCCATTCGCATCAACCCCTCCCTGTCGCCCACAGAGCTTGTCTTTATGGCTCAAATGGAGCCACTGTCAAGATTGATAGGTATATTTTAAAAAGCAGCCCCAAAGCAAAACCTCAGGGACAGCGTCCTTGGAGAAGTTGGGGCAGACGGGCTTGTCAGAGCTGTGCAGGTCACAGCTCTCCCCACCTCAGAATTCCTTCAATCATTCTGTTATTTGTACCCACCTCAGAAAGGGCCATTCCCCATCCACGGCCACAGATCAGGTGGATGCTTTTCTACGGGGGGACCGGAGAGGGAGGCTGGGATGACAGCACATCCCAGGATATGCGGGGAGGGGGCTTCCTTTTCGAGTCTTATTTCAAAGTTGGTGAGATTGCCACAGATGCTATAGAGCCTATTTGTTCTGCCAGCTGTCAGCTCATTGCTGCAGGTCTTTCCTGAGAAGCTGTTACATCGTTTTTGTGGTTATTAATAATTATTAGTGGTCATGATATTAATAGTCCTGCTATGTTGATGAACACGGTAACCCCAGGGACATAACCAATGAAACAACTACTATGCTAGGCAGTCTCAACCAGAACCAGAACTAGGGCAACAAGAACAATTACAGCCATGTGGACAGAGCACCTACTATGTGCCATGTACTTTACTGAGAGGTTCAGTCTATCCTCAAACAATCCTAATGAGAGGGGAGGGGAGAGGAGACCAGAGAGATGAAGACACTTTTTATTAATATGTATCAGGACAGCTGATCCTTAAGTCATAATTGATTATGAACATGGAGGAGGGGGTATGTGGTTGGAATTATAATAGTATTGGCCAGGTACTGGTGGCTGGGACTTTCCCATCCTTTATCTAAGTCAATCCTTAACCCTATGAAGTCAGCCCATTAACTCCACAGGAGGAAACAGGCTCAGAAGTTAACTTGCCCAAAGATACCTGACACCATGAGAGTGATCGGGATTTGCACCCAGAACTGTTGAGGCGAAGGGCTATCCCGCAGGAAGCAGGTGCTCTGGGAGGGGGCAAGGGACACACGTCTGCTTACCCGGCACACGTACTGGCTCTGGGGACCGGGGGAGAAGGTCTTAGAGCGGATGATGGTGCTTCCTCGAAGAAATGGCCCTGGGGAGGGCGTGCCCACCCGGCGGTCCTTGGGCCGCACCACTGTGGGGGACAGGGACGGGGTCTCCGTGTTGGTCTCTTTGTCCACCTGAGGAAGAAGCCACAGCTTTGAGACCAGAGTTTCAGCCGCCCACCCCAAGGCTCATGGGGAAGACTCCCCAGTTGCTCCCACAGACAGCTGGGAGCTTCCTCAGCCCCAACCCTGCCCAGCCAGGGCGGCGCCCAGGGCCCCGAGTGCCAGGCCCTGTTCCTCCACGACACCTGTGGGGCTAGTGGGAGCATCTTTAGTCCCCAAACAAGCTCACGTGAGCAGCAGAGGTACCTTAAGCATGATGGCCTGGACTTTACACCCTCAAGACTCATGTGCCACAAACACTTTGTCAAAGCCACACCCAAGGCCTCCACTGCCCCAGCCAAGACCTACCTGCCCATGTTTTCTTGGAATTATGCAGGCAACCAGCAAATCTCATTTCTTAAACTAGGTGACCAGGTTTTCTGTTTTCAAGGTGGCCACCAGTAAAAGTTGAGCAAACAAAAAACGCGGAAAGGCAGGGCCTCCATTAGCCCTAACAGCGCCGTTGTGTAATTTTGAAAAAGGGGCCCCCTTGGCTGGAGAAACTGCAAAACGCTCTCCCCTTGGTGTGGAGCAGTTAGGAGGCAGCCATGGATTCTGGGCAGTGCCCTGCTCAGCGCAATGGGTGCTCTATTCCAAGGAGCCCTGCCTGCAGGTGGGAAGGACAGAGACCTCTGTGGAGAGTGAACGCTGATAGGACATGTGACCCTAGTGCAGCAGGAAGCAGGGGCGAGGGAACTTGACCATCGGTCTCCCTTCTCCTACTGCGCTTTGGGCAGACCCAAATGAAGAAACACATTCCTCCAAAACCTTAGAACCTGTCTGCAAGGGGAGTGCTATTGTGTCCAGTTTAGAGACAGTGAAATGAAGGCTTCAGAGGGATGAAGTCATCTGCCCAGGACCCAGCTAAGAGGAGCAGAGCAGCATTTGAACCCATAGCAAAGGTCTGTTCAGAGAAACAGGGAAACGGTAGACAGCAGGAAAGAGGAAGGGGCGCACCAGCCTCTCCTGGTTTACTGTCACCAAAATGAGCCCAATTACAGGCAGGGACACTACTGTACACCTGCAGGTCACTTCATTCCGAGGGCTGGTCCCCTGATGCTGGAGGACAAGACATAACCGTGAACCTTTTGCGGCTGCTTGGGCTCAAGGACTGAGGGCTATTTTCCCCAAGACAGCCCTTCCCACCTCCCTGGCCATCCCTACCTTTAACGCTGGGCACTCGTCTGTATCTGGTGAGGATTTCTCAGCAAAAAGGTCCTCCTCTCCCCCCTCTGCTGCTGCCTCGGTGTCACTGGTCTCCTCCTCAAACCTCCTGTGATGACAAAGAACTTTGGTTACTCCCCAGAGACTACTCTCATCTGCTCGCATGCCTTTAAATGCACCTAGGGCAGGGCTTCCAAAACCTTTCAGGATACAGGACATTTTTGTGGGGGAGGGGGATAATGAATTTTAGGGAGGTATAATTTACATATAGCAAAATGCATTTATGGTGTAAAGTTTGGTAAGTTTTGACCAATATAATTCCCCTGTGTTACCACTACAATGATATAGACCATTCCATTACCCCAAAAGATTCCCTCATCCCCTTTCTCAGTTAATTTCCCCTCACCTCCAGCCCAGCACTGATGAGCGATCTGTCACTAGAGATGAAATCTGAGTTTTCTAGCATTTCATATAAATGGAATCAGGCAGTAGCGCTTTTTGGTCTCTGGCTTCAGTCTCTCAGCATAATGTTTCTGAGATTCATCCATATTGGTGATTGTATCAATAGTTCACTCTTTTTTATGGCCGAGTAATAGTCCATTGGATGGATAGACTACAATTTGTTTAGCTATTCAGCAGTAATGAACACCTGGGCTGTTACTATTTTTTAGCAACTGTAAATAAAGCTTCTACAGACATTCACGTAGATATAGGTTTCCGGATATTGTGTTAGTTTGCCAGAGCTGCCCTAACAATACCACTGGCTTAAAATAACAGAAATTTATCTCTTGCAGGTCTGGAGGCTAAAAGTCCAACAAAGTGTGGGCAGGTTTGGTTTTCTCTGAGCCCCTCCCTGTGGCTTGAAGACGGCTACCTTCTTGCTGTGTCCTCACATGGCCTTCCCTCTGTGTACCCATCCTTGGGGGGGGGTCTCCCTCTGTGTCCAAATTTCCTCTTTTCACAAAGATACCAGTCATATAGGATTAGGGCCCACGGTCCCTTTAACAACCTCATGTTAACTTAATCATCTTTTGAAGGCCCTATCTCCAGCCCGGCCAGGTGTGGCTCAACGGTTGAGCATCGACCTAGGATCCAGGCGATCGGGGTTCGATTCCCGGTCAGGGCACATGCCTGGGTTGCGGGCCCCATCCCCAGTCGGGGGTGTGCAGGAGGCAGCCGATCAATGACTCTTTCATCATTGATGTTTCTATCTCTCTCTCCCTCTCCCTTCCTCTCTCTGAAATCAATAAAGATATTTAATAAATAAATAAAGGCCCTATCTCCAAATACAGTCACATTCTGAGGTCTGGAATCAGGGCTTCAAAATATGAATTCTGCAAGGGACACAATTCAGACCAGAACAGCTATATACCTGAATGGAACTGCTGGGTCATACAGTAAGTATGAGTTTATCCTATTGAGAGACTGACAAACTGGTTTTCCAACGTGGTTATGCCACTTGACATTCCCACTAGCAATGTTATGAGAATTCCAGCTCCTCGTCTAGACTTGGAATTGTCAGTCTTTAAATTTAGTCATTCTACTGGGTGTGTACCCACAGCTCATTGTGGTTTTTAATCTGCACTTTCCCACTGAGCAAATCGTTTCATGCATTTATTGACCATCCATATATTTGTCTTTTGCAAAGCATCTGTTAGAATCTTTAGCCCATTTAAAAACTAGGTTGTCCGTTTATTATTGAGATGTAAGAGTTCATTATATATTTTGGGTATAAATCCTTTGCAAATATTTTCCCCAAGTCTGTTGCTTGACTTTTTATCTTCTAAAATGGTGTTTTCCAAAGAACAGAAGCTTTTGATGGTGATAAAGTCCAATTTATCAATTTTTTAATGGTTTGTGCTAAGAAATCTCTGCCTACCTGAAAGCTGCAAAAAAAAATTCCCCTCTATTTTCTTTTAGGAGTTGTATAGTTTCAGATTTTATGTTTAGCCTCACGATCCACTTCAGATTTAATTTTTGTACATCATGCCCTAAGTTTATTTTTTCTATACGGATATTCCATGGTTCCAGCATCATTTCTGAAGAGACTTTAGTTTTGGTGATGCTCTTCAAAATTATCCTTTCCCCCTGGGCTTCACGGTTGGAAGGAGTTGGTGTGACAAATGGCCTGCATTTGTTAATTAGTAATTTATCTCGATTCCCATCTTTCCTTCTCAAAGACATACATAACCGCCAGGCTTCTGATCAGCACGAGACAGCGTTACCACACTGAGCGGGAGGAATTCCAGCCAAAAGCAGAAAATCTGACATCTAGTTAGCTGGCTCCGTGAGGCTGTGGATAAACATAAACTCTCCCTCGGGATTTTCCCAGTGCGGAGAACAGGCCTTGGATCTCCACCCCCAGCCCTACGATGAAGACCTCGACCGCACTTAGAAAGGAGCTGCAAGGCCAGGGGCTCTCCCTCCTTCTTACCCGCAGCCTGTCTGTCTCCTTATAAAAGAGCCATTATACATGGGAACATGCCAGAAGCACCTCCCCAAGAATTTCGCAGACGCCACATTAACCAGCACTTACTGAGGCTTAATAAGCTCCAGGTGCTATACTAAGGCCTTACAACAGTGCGCCCAGCAATGACTGTCTCCATTTTATGGACTGAAAAGCCAAGGATCAGAGTGTCGGGAACCCCTGTCCGGTGTCACGGGCTGCTAAGTGGTGAAGCCTGGTTTTCCAGCCAGGTTTGTCCAAGTCCACTAAGCGCTCAACTATTATAGAAGCCTCTTTTTGACTATGAATCTGATCTAAATACTTCCAGAAAGGAAAAACCCCCTCAATTGTAAAGAGAAAAATAATTAAAATACACATCTTTTTACCCTTTGGAGCATATATATATATATATATATATATATATATGATCATCTCAAGGGCTAGTGAAGGCGGGGGATAGGCTAATCCCTGTGGGAAGTAAATTAGAGCAGGTGATTTATACTCTGAAGTCAATTTATCAGAATCTGCTAAAACAAAACATGTACATATCCTTGACTAAGTACTGCAGTTGGATTTAGTCTCGTTTGAGAGCTATTCTGCAAGGCTGCTTCTCAGCATCTGCCCTAGACAAACACACACACATTCCCAAGGAGGCCAACACAAGGATTGTCACTCCCATGTTGTTTATGATTATAGTCTCCTATATTGTTGAATACTTTTAGAGTTTTGTTTTGCTTTTGAACCTTTAAAAAAAAAAAATCCAGTCTTCTGATTATATGCACTAAAGAAACCTACCCAAAAAACCCAAAACCAAAACAACGGAGGGCGTGACAATGGCACCCTGGACCTTGGGTGCTGGAGGAGGAATGTAAATGAGAACAGAGGGCCAGTCTTTTGGAGGCCTTGGCACATGAGCCCAGAGCTGAGACGCCAGAACTGAGCGGGCACAGCCAGGCGAGTTAGCATTCCAGGACCCCAAGAAACCTGCAGCCTGGAGGAGGGGGCCGCAGATGGATTTACCCCAATGGAGCAGCTCGGGGATTCGCAGCCCTCTTTGCAAGTCAGTGTCTAGGGAAGTCTGAATGCCAGGGGAGGGGAGAGAGGGGCCACAAAGGGAGAAAGAACAGAAGGCGGTTGCTAGGCAATGGCGTGAAAAGTCTCAGCACAAGCTTGGAATTTGGGGAAAACCAGTGATCTTGTGCCAGGGTTTTGGAGGACAGGTCCTAGGCCTGTTTCCGGCATCAGACCCTTCCCTGTGTGGATCCCAGCCCAACCCCGGCAGTGTGCTAGAGAAAGGGAGAGAGGGAGGGGAAAAAAGATGGAGACAGAGGGGTGGGGGAGAGAGGGAGGAGGGAGAGGGGAGGACTAGGAGGGAGGGAGAGAGAGGAAGGAGAGAGGGAAGGAGAGGGGAGGGTTGGGAGGGAGGGAGAGAGGGAGGAGGGAGAGAGGAATTGAGGCAATTTAGAGAGAACCCTAAAACAATCAAATGAACATATAAAAATTCAGGAACCTTGCCATACCCTTCCTTACATGGAAGAACAGTAAAGGAGGCTAAGGGAGGGGTCAGCCCAATGGCCCAATTCAGCCTGTTTTCAACAGTCGAAGCTATGAATGCTTTTTATAGTTTTAAGTGGCTAAAAAAAAAAAATCAAAAGAATGTTATTTCATGGTGTGCACATTATGTGAAATTCAAATTTCAGTGTCCATCGCTGGAGTGTCAGCGTCGGACAGGATGGCCGGCGTGCGGGGCGTGCTGTCTCCGGCTGTTTTCACACTAAGGCCACAAGTTGAACAGACCCAGCAGATTCTGCATGGCCCATAAAGCAGACATTTACGACCTGGCCCTTTCCAGAAAACATCTGCTGACCTCTGGAGTAAAAGGTATTAAGGAAAGACTCCTCCTGAGGTCAAATGTATAATTTGGGGCTGTAATAGAAAAACAAAGAAGAGTTATTGAGTGCCTCCTGTGGGTCAGGTTCTGTGTTCCACGTTTATCATGCATAATTGTACTGAGTCTACAAAATACCTATGTATAATGGCTATTTTTAAAATTTGTATTTTATTTTTTTGTTAATGATTACCTGAGGATATTTTTCCCATTGATTTTTTGAGAGAGAGGAAGGGGGAGGAAGGGGGGGGGAGAGAGAGAGAACATCGATGTGAGATAGACACATAGATTAGTTGCCTCCCGCCCGCACGCACGCACTCCCACTGGGGTGGGGAACAAACCTGCAACCCAGGTACAGACCCTTGACCGGGAATCAAACCCAGGACCCTTTGCTGAGAGGGCCAACGCTCTACCACTGAACCACATCAGCCAGGGCTAAAATATGTATTTTACAGATGAGAAAAGGGGAGGCTGAGAGCCATGGCTCTCAACCCAGGTTGCACATTAGAATCACCCAGAGAGCTTTAAAACCCACTGATACTCAGGCCTGCCCCAGATCTAGGACGCCACAGGAAGTTGGCTCAGAGACACTCCCGAGCCCTGTGGGTCTGAATTCAGAGCACATGCCGAAAGCCCAACGAGACTTCCTCCCAAGTGGCAAGACTCACAGGCTGTGGTCCTCCCAGGACGGCATCTGCCCTGTCCCTTCGAGCTGAGAGCTCGCAGCGTTCCTTCTTTTCCTAACCATAATTCCTGCCATCGACTGTCTGCTGTGAGCCTTTTTCCATTCGTGGCTTTTCCTTCTGGCAGTCCCGACAACCCTCTGCGATCGGTGTCATGCCCCCATTCTTCAGGGGAGGCTCAGTCGCACAGGTATGGGTGGCTTGCCTAACAGGGGCTGTCCCTGAGGTGTGGGCTGCCCAGGTGCTGGTACCGAGTGCCCTGCTCCCTGAGTCGGATGCTGGTTCCACAGGGAGTTTGGTTTCTGAAAATTCGCTGAGCTGTACTGGATGCTTAGGTGAACTTTTCTGTATGTGTGTTACCCTGCAATAAAAAGTTAAAAAAGCTGCTCTGACCAGGCGGCTCAGTTAGTTAGAGCGTCATCCCATTCACCAAAAGGTTTTGGGTTCAATTCCCGGTCAGGGCACATACCTAGGTTGCAGGTTCGATTCCTGGTCGGGGTGCGTATGGGAGGCAACCGATCAATGTTTCTCTCTCACACTGATGTCTCAACATATCCTCGGGTGAGAATTTAAAAAAAATTTTAAAAATAGTTAAAAGCGCTTTCCCAAGGTGACACAAAGAAAGTGATGACACTAAAATCTGAACCCTGTCTCCATCGCCGTTTCTTAAGACGGAGAGACCTTTCTGTCGGGTTACAAGGGACCTACGGGCCCTGAACGACACAATGAGGAAGCTGCCTCTGCTTCACTCTCCATCAGGTCACATCAAGGGGGGTCTCTACCACCAGCTGAAACACCGACCAAGCTTCCTTTTCAACAAGGGGAAGAGACTGAGGACTTAAAACCGCATAGCAAACAATGTGTCTAGCTAAACTTCAACACTCTTGTTTTATTTTCACTAAATTTTTCACCGTCACCTTCTGAGGCAGACCTGGCCTATCCAATACCCAGTCCCACGTTCTGCCTTAGTAATGAGACCGTGACTTTTGGACCTGACCGAACAGACCTCATTTCCTAGCCTCCCTTGCGGTTAGATAGGCCGAGTGGCTAAGCTCGGCCAATGAGAAGTAAAAATTGCTAGGTGGGGCTTTCCGGAATGCCAAGGTTAAAAGGCACACATACATTGTCTGTCTTCTTTCCTGATGTCTGCCTGATGGCTGGTGACTCAGCAGCCACTTTGGGCTATAAAGCAGCCTCAATGATAGAGGTCCCACAGTGAGGACAGCAGAGCAGAATGAGAGGAGGCGCCTGGGTTCCCAGGAGCATCTTGCAGCTAACAGACAAGCCTTGGTTTGCCTCCCCCATTCTTCTTTCTAGATAACAAAGAAATAAACTATCTATCTGAGCCTCTTATTCCTGTTCTCTGTCCCTTGAGGTTAAACGCAACCCCTTATTAAGGAACCTTCAAATTAAGGAAAATTATACTTATTTTCCACTTAAGAGTGGTATAAAGCTTCTTTAAAAATTTTAAACCAAAATCAATGTAAGTACATTGAGGCAAACTAACAGGAGATGAACTAGCCTGAGTGACTCACAGAAAACAAATAACTGGGAAGGGATTTTGGGAACCACTGTACCAGGCTATGTACTGCTTTGCTGCCTGTATAGAACCCATGAGGAAATGGGTTCTCAGTTCCCCCATGGGGACACTTCTCCTGGCTGCTTGGGCATTCAGGGAACTCATCCCTGGGCCCACGTCCAAGCCAGATCAGTTCCAGAGGCCCAAGGGAGCCCTCACTTACCAGCTGTCTCCCAGGGCCTGGGCGCTGCTTCTTCCCTCCTGCCTCTTCTCCAGCTCCACGGCTGTCTGCTCCAACAGAGCAGACACAGCGTCCTGCGGAGACAAAGGCGGATGGGTGCACTGGCTCACCATGAGCGCCACCCCTCCTGGCAAGAATCACAGCTTCTCAGCGTGTGACCCTCTCAGTGAACCAAGGGTAAAATTGAAGGCCAGAGTGGGTCAGCATCTTGTCCCGAGGTCACATACACTGGAAATACAGTGCTTAGTTCTTCTAACTAGCAGTTCTGCTGAGAATAACTCTGGGATGCCTAGACAGTTTTGGAAGACAGACAAGTTCAGTAGTCGAGGGAGACAGAATTATAGGTCTCCGGTGGCAAGGAGATCATAGTGTAGTCAGGGAGACAATCACATGAACCATCAATAACAAAACAATGTGAGAGGGACTATGCCAGAGGTAGTACTGATGTTTGGGAACCGAGATGCAATGGCAAAGTCAGCTTAGGGGGCTGCATTCCGGGAAGGCTTCCTGGAGGAAGAATATCTATGCTGAATGGTGACTACATTGAAAAAGCCAGTGTGAGTTAAGGAAATTATTTAACCTCTTTGAGACTCAGTTTCCTATAACACCTACTACAAAGGGTTATCATGAAGATTATATATATATAAGGTGCGCAAGAGTATCTAGCGCATAACCGGCACTCAGTAAGCAGCAGCTAAGAGCAAAGAAAACCTCATCTTTTCTGAACACAGGGTTAATATGCAAATACCCTTGGTAGTGTAAAGCCAGATTTTCTTTGGGGGAAGGAAAGAGGGAACTAAAATCAACTGAAGGCACTGATAAGTGGCTTACATGTAGCATCTAACTGAATCTTTACAACCATCTGGTAGGAGAGATTATGATTATTTCCTTGAGAAACGGGAATGAAAATGGATGTGCCTAAGATTGATGTGACTTAATCCAAGAATATGCTCTAGAAAGTAGAGGGGTCTTTTGTAAGACCTTTCCAACTCATGGTCCCATTTTTGTAGTGAGGGGGAGACCTAGCTTTGTTGCTTGTTAGATGTATATCCTTAGGCAACTTTCTGAGCCTTGGTAAACTGCACATAATAAACAGGGCACTGCCTGACACCTTCTTATACAAAGCCTCCACAATGGACCACTAGGCACATAGTAGGGTTTCAATAAAGGTTAACTTTCTATCTTCCAGGTTTTTTTCTTTTCTTCCCTACTTTATCTTTAAAAAGTCGTACATTAAGACTTTCATTAGGCACAGTACATCAGGTCAAGCAAAGTACTGGAGGGGAGAACACAACCGGGAAGGGGGAAGTTGCAGATCCCCTACACAGAGATCTCTCCTACCCTGTCCTCTCCCCGTCTGCCTCTCCCCTCTGGTCGATTCCCTCCCCCACCTCCAGTTCTGGGAGAGGCCGTTCCGCCCCTCCATCCAGGGGCTGCCTGTGTAGGTGTCCCCGCTCACCGTGTTTTCGGGCCCTGGGGTGGGGGCCCGGCCGCCCAATGGCTTGGGCTCCCTGCTCTGTTTCTTCAAGTATTTGTAGCTCAGGAGGTTGTACCAGCGAGTCGACCTCTCCCCAGACCGGCAGACCTCAGCCAGGCTGATCTGGGCGCCTCCCTGTTGAGGGCAGGAAAGGGCAGAGTTATAAGCAGGGTTGACAAGGAGAGCTGGGGAATTTGGTTCCTGGGGAAAGTATGAAAAACGTCACTCCAGGTGAGACGGAAGCTTCCGGGGAGAAAGAGAGGGCTAGTTGTTAATCATTTCCAACGATTACTCATTCACTAATCATCCACCCGTTACTCATTTGCCAAAGGTTTATTAAATGTTTATCTCTAGGTATTGATATAGAGAGATCCCCAGGCTAGGTTTTTAGGGGGGGAAAAACTGTATAGTGCGGAACAATATATAGTATGCTAGGTTTTGCACAAGGAATGAAGAGAGGGATATCACCATACTTGAGGTACAAGGGAGAATGAACATGACCATGTGATCATATGTACATCAAGAAATAATGGGAAGGTAAAAAAGAAACTTACTCAATGCGGTTACCGCTATAGGTAGGTGTGGGACTGGGGTAGAAGGGCCACGTGGAGACAGCAGGGTTTCTCTATAGCAAACCTTCCTCAACAATTTCTCTTTCAATCATGTAAACGGATCCCGTAAGAATAAAATGAACTACAACAAATGAACCTGACTGAACCTCACAGAGAGAGGGCTTATTTCAAGCAACTTAACATTTTTACTATTCATTCTTTGTGGAAAGAACTGCAAAATAATTTTAATCATTCCTCAGTGGCCTTATTGTTTCAACATGTCCTTGTTGGGGGAGCTCGGACCACGTTTGGGGGGTTAGCTCATCCGCTGTCCCCAAACGCACCAGAGGCTGTGCCCATGGGTGGCAAATACCACTAGCCAATTGGCAAACTGGGCCAGCAGCCAAGAGATGGCTCTGGATGGCACCTGGGACAAGGAGGGGGCTCTCTGACCCACGTGGCACCCTTTCTTCCAGTTTTTCCTCCCATCAGGATATACCAGAGCACGGCACGGACTGTGCCAAGCCTGTGTGGTTAATGGTAAGTTCTAGGGGAAGAGCTGTGAGTAGGTAAACACACACACACACGAGACCAGAGCGCGGTGGGTGGGAGCTGTGGGAACTCTCTCCTGGTTCCTTCTGTTCTCTCACTGAGCGAAGCAAGGGCCTCATTGGAGGCCAGGGTGGGGGGGCCAGGGTGGAACTGCTGGAGGCTGGAGGAGAGACGAGAAGAATCACCACTGGGAGGAGCCGGAGGGAAAGAATCCACGGAGATGCGGAACAGCACTGGGCAGCAGGGGGGCTCATGGGAGCTTCGTGACCGTGATTTTAAAACGACCCCATACAGCACAGCTCTGTGTGTTTCTCCAGCTGCACCGGTGAAAAGGAGGTGGAAAGAGTTCACTGCGACCAGGCTGGGGTTTTGCCACGTGGGGATGGCAAGGTGAGAAAGAGGTAGGGAGCCATGGTGCTGGTTAACGGGACCTGAGTGGGCCTGGGAAATGGGCGCCCTCACAGGGCCTGCACTGAGCGGCACTGAGCTTAGTGGTTGGGGTGGGCGAGCAGGGCCCAACTGGAAAGGCTGTGACCCATGCTAAAGCATCTGATAGAACTGTTGCCCGAGATACTGGGGAAGGCAGCCACCTATTCCTCCAAACCCGTTATCTAGGTCTGGGGACATGAGAGACGCAGTGACCCTGTGAGAGGTAGGACAGTGAGATGGCTCTGCATGAGGGATGTGAAATCTGTGTTCCCATCCACACTTCTCCACCCGCTCGCTGGATGACCTGGACAGGTTACTCAGCCCTCGGGGCCTTGATCCCTCATCTGTCAAGTGGCGGTAATCCTAACACTCCTTCTTAGGGCTGCTGTGAGGACTAAATGAGATACTGCACCCTAAGTTCTTAGCCCAGTTCCAGACACAAAGACACGCTCAGAATGGGCACTGCTGTGGCCCGGCTGATGAAACGGCTGGCAACAGACCAGGGATTCCGCAAATGCAGCGGCGAGGGCGCCTCTGCGTGGAAGCAGACAGCCTCTGCCCCGCGTATCTCACTTCCTCGCCTCCTCCTGCCACCAAAACACGACAGCCTGACACTCCACATCTCCACAGGTTACGGAGAAGTAGGCCTCCCATTGGCCACGGATGGAGACAAGCCACGGTGGGATGAGCGCTTGGCTGCTGCCATGGCAACCAGCGGTGGCCAGACTTCAATTAGGGAGGAGGAAAAAAGGCACCCAATTAGGAGAAGAAAACAGGATTGAGTCTGTTCTCATCTAGGAACAGCCAGGGCTCCGGAAATGCTTCGCTGGGGGAGCCCGGGGTTGGAAAAGCATTCTGCTGTCATTCAGCATCCTCCATGCTCGCCACACCCTCCGGGCACCGTCCCCACCTGTGGGCTTCGGGGAGCACTGTGCTGACACAGAAAACACCGAGGGGCTGACCTGGCGGGCTGCAGAGGCGGAGCCGCCTGGGTCCTAACCCTGCGCCTGCCACTGCCTGACCTGAGGAAGTCCTTTCTTCTCTCTGTGGCTCAGCTTCCTCACGGGCGTAACAGAACCTGTTTTATAGGACCTAGTGAGGATCAATAGAGAGAATACATGTAAGAGCTTAGCTCAGGGCCCGCCACATAAATTGTACCCAAGCAATGCTAGTTATTGCATTATCTGTCGGTAATAATAACAACAAATGCAATGATGTACCCCAGCTGTGGGGGGACAGGAACTGGCATCCAGGGCAGACTCTTCACTGCTTTGCATTGTTGCTATGGGGACCAGCAGCATCAGCATCACCTGGGAGCATGTCGGAAATGCAGAACCTTGGGCCCCATCGCAGGATGGCTGAACCAGTATCTGCATTCTTTTTTTTTTTTTTTAATATATCTTTATTGATTTCAGGGAGAGAACAGGAGAGGGAGAGAGAGAGACAGAAACATCAATGATGAGAAAGTCATTGATCAAGCCCGCAACCTGGGCATGTGCCCTGACCGGGAATCGAAACCCGATCGCCTGGATCCTAGGTCGACGCTCAACCCGAGCCACGCCCAGCCGGGCGAACCAGTGCCTGCATTCTAACCGGAGCCCCGGGTAACGTGTGTGTGTGCTTCAAAAGTTTGGGAAGCGCTGCTGTAGCACCTTATTTAATTCCCAGGGAACCACTTTTCAGATAAAGAGGCTGAGACTGAGAACGGAATTGTTGTAGGGAACACGGCAGGGAAACAAACGGCTGGTGACTCAGACTCGGGGCCGACATTCCAAAGATGTGGCCGCACAATTCCACAGCAGACCAGGGCTTTATAGCACGAGCACGCTGGGGTCAGGGAGGGACAGCAAGGAGGTTCCCCACGATGAGCAGAGGCCTGTGGCTCACACCTAAAGGAAGGCGAGCGGCCGCCCAGGAGCGGGACTGCCATGCTGCCACTCCCCAGCTTCCTTAGGATTCAGAGAGGCGAACACACCCCATTTCCCTCCTTTGCCTGTGCCTTTGTTTTCCTCAACCTGTCACCTCCAATATGGTCCTCATCACAGTGAATCGCTTATCCTTAGCGGTTTACTTGCTTGCCATCAAAGTTGGCCCCTTGTCTGTTCGGTTCCTCACTGTATCCCCAGCACCCAACAGGTTCCCAGGAAAGGTGACAGTGGGTGGAGTTACCTTTTAGGTGTAAAGCCCACGTCTGGGCTCCACTGTGTCCACACTATTATTCAAATCCTCTGAACTCTAAATGGCACAGGGTTAACAAAGCCTGTCACTTACTTTTAGCTCATTTGTGCATCACGACAATCCCGTTAGCTACAAAGCTCCATTTCACACATGAGAAAGCTGAGAAACATCTATACGTACTTGGCTCTGCCTGGTTCTAAGGGAGTGGCTTTCTTGGGACACAAATGTACCTGGGGCTACTTCATCTCCAACCCTGACTCCTAACAATTTGGGGAGTTGGGAGGGGAAGGAGGAGAGAGGAAGAGAAAGTTGGAGGAGCTGGGCTCCAGGAAGTGAACTAACAGTGGCCCCATCCAATGAGAACCTACTGTGCGCCAGACACTTGAGTAGGTGCTTTACATGAACTGCCTCACTTAATCCTTATAAAGACTCTTCTGGTGGGCAGGAGGGAGGCATTACCATTTGCATTCCATGGATGAGAAAACAGGATCAGAAAGGTTAAGTAACTTGCCCAAGGTCACCCAGCTACACAGTGCGTGGTAAAGGTGGGATTTGGGCCCCCGTATATTTGTTCTGTAATGCCGCATGGTAAAGCTATGGCATGTGGCTAGTTATCTTCCAGGTTCTGGCATGTTAAAGAACACTCTCAGGTCTGCTACTCTTCCTCCTGTGAAATGAGCTCCCCCACCCCCAAAAAGTCTGCGAATGCTGCCTGCCTATGGAAGAGCCTCTGCCCAGAAGCCCAGCTGAACCCACCACCTTTTCTCCAGGCCTTCTCCCTGAAGTGTAAGATGCACCATTTCCCAGAAGGACAGAGGTGGGACAGACAGACAGACACACCCCTCACCAGGCAATCCTCCAGATGGCTCTGATCGGTGGTACAAACGTCGACTCTTAAGGTCTTCTGGTGAAGGGCTGGGTAGGACATGGACACCCAGAACACCTCGTTGAACACAAGGGTGTCCGAGGCTTCCAGGGGCCGAGTCCGGAACAGGCAGGTGGAGCTTTCGGAGCAGGGAAGGACAGCCACGCGGATGTTCCTAGAGGGAGACAGAAAAAGCCCCGTTCAGCCCAGGTCTGGGGCTGATATGTTAGGCTAACCAGGTGCTGCAAATGTCAAGGAAACACTGATCAGGTTTGTCCTTCCTCAGGTATGTGTGAAGGCCACAGAAGGGCCCCTAAGGATAACACAGTGTGCTTCCTTCCCCTGAATCCTCTAAATCCTTAGAACCTCAAAGCACGGGGAACCTGAGGCCAGCAGTGTGCAAAGGTCCATGTGCAGAAGGACTGGCGAGGCTGCCTGTTAACACTGAGGAGCCCTCAGACAACTGCTGGTGGGAGGGCAAAATGTGACGGCCCCTGCAAAAGGGAACCTGACAATCTGAACAAAATCACAGATGGGTTTACCCTTTGACCCAGCCAGCGCGCTCATAGGCACTCTCTCGGATACCCCTGCGGGAGTACCAGTGAGCTACGGAGGTTATCCATCCCGGTGCTGCGTGGACAAGCACAGGACAGGAAACAACCCTCATGTCCTATCTCGTCTGCCTTCTGTTTGGCTGGCTTTCGTCCTGCCTTTCTCCTTCCCGCATGTCACACCCCCAGATGCTGGCTGGGTGTAGACCATAGAAATGTAAGCTCCTGTTGCTGTCGTCAAGGCTTACTGGGCAGTGAGAGAACGTGTAGGCAGATGGGCTCAATGAAACGTAACCTGGTCTGCAATGAGAGGAGCCGGCAGGCAGACGGGGGGGAGGTATTTGCCGTATTATCAATTTCAAGGTAACCCCCGTCCCATTGTTCCAGGGATGGGGGCCGACTCGAGAATGGCACACCTGTCTCTTCTGCGTGGAACACCTGAGCTCAGAGCAGACAAAAGGGGCCAAGGTCTTCCTTACAAGGCTTCAAGTTCACAGGGCGGGGATGTCCTCACCACCCTGTCCTTCCTGCTGGCACTCGGGAGGTGCTCAGGACGCATTTGTGAAGGAATCAGAGGGGTCCAGAGGTTGTCATGAGGGCTGGCGTGTTTGCCATCACGTCTGTGTCCACACTCACTGTGCTGACCCTTTGCATCACGGCCACAGGCATGAAATACCCACGGTGGGCTTACAGCCTGCTGTCCGAGCGGGACAGAGCATGAGAGTGACCCCGGATGGCCTC